GGTGTCCCAGCAGCCAAGTCATAGATCTGTTTGGGGATGCCTTGCTGCATATTTGGGGGTCAGTTCTTTGATCAGGTTCACGTAGTCAGTTTTCTCCGCACACGCCCTGCATTCTTCCCCCCAGCCGTTCAGGATCTGTTTCAGCTCTGCTACTCTCATCTTCCAAAGATCCACTGCAGCCAAGTCCAGTTGCTTTTCTAAACACCAAAAAGAAAAAGGCACAAGTAAAACACAAACACAAGACCTAGGACACAGCACAGAGGTGAAGTGCTTGCCTTAGCATGCACATGACTGCGTTCAATCCCCAGCACCACAAAAGAAAACAAAAAAAGACATTCTATGAAACACTTCAAGAGGCACATCCTAACTTCTCTATGATCCCACTTGGGAAGTGTTCCAGTTTCCATGGAAACTAAGACACATCCAAGGAAAATGTATCACACGCCCGGGTCTCCCTTTCAGTGGGTTCTACAGATGTAACCAGCCACAGACCAAAACTATTCATGATGCAAACAAAATTGCATCTGCCCTCAATATGTACAGATTTTTTTCCTGCCATTGTTTTGTAAATAACTCAGTGTAACAACTACTTATATAACATTTACATTGAGTGAAGTATCAAATGCAATCTAGCACAATCTATGATTTAAGGAATAGGGGAGAACTTGCTCAGGTGATACACAAACTCTAAGCCATTTTATGAAGAGGATTTAGTATCTGAAGTTTGGTGTCTATAGCAGATGGGGAAACCAATCCCCCACAGACTTGGGGCAGAGGCAACTGCACAAAGCCATTGGGCTAATTTGTGTTCAATCTGCCTGTCTTGCCAAGGGATTGCACTCACTTTGCAACAAGGACCTATATAGCTCTACTCAGTTCTCAAAATCAGCATTCCGAGAACAAATTGCACTGTACCTTAGTTGGTGCTGTTAAGGTAGGAAGACATAGATTCCTAAAAGGCCATGTCTTTAAGATGGGTTTGGCCAGTGGCCATCTGAAAGCCATAGAGCGTAATTAACTGGCAAGTCATAGTAACCTCTTATGCAAGCTAGGTCCTTATTAATACAGCTGAGCACTGTAGGTCAGGGGCAGTGAGCCTTTTAGAGACGAGTGCCCAAAGTGCCACTTCTCTCAAAGTGCCAACGCTGCAATGAAACCTGAATACTGACATTTCAGTTTAGAAAAAACAATTCATACATCTCTTAACATCTCTTATCTTAAAAGAAAAACAACACACGTGCCATAGGTTCACCACCACTGTTGTGGAGTTTTCAGTACAGTTGTAAAGAGATCAAAACCATAAATAAAATCAAGAGATTTCCCCCAATCCTTAATTGTTTAGGTTCTCTGCTTAAACTCACCTTCTACCCTGCCCTGCGGGGATTACTAGATCGTCCCAATAGGTATTTGCAATCCTTTTAATACCAGTGCTTCAGTGGTGCCACCAACCTGGCTCCTAAAATCCTTGCCAATATACCCATCAGCAGTGTCTAACT